GTCAATGACGAACCTAGAAGAAAGATGTTGGCTACAAGGGGATTAAGCCAACAGGGTCCTTTCTCTCCTTTTCCTTTCCCGGCAGATGGCCTCAACTACTTATTGACTATAGCTGTAAAAGTTAACCAAGTGGAAGGTTTAATCATAAGCAGGGAGTAAGTTTTTCATTAATCCTATGCCATTTTCAATGATATTCTGTTGTTTTCATTCTTTTCCAAGCATAATCCCAGCAACATTATTAAAGTGATCTGATTTTCTGGGAGGCGTTGGTTTAAAGGCTAACATTCATAAACCTAAAGCAGCAGGTATTAAGTGTAGCAGGGCGCAAGTGGTTTCCTTTGCTGAAGACTTCTCTTGTTCCATTAGCAAGTGGCAACCTAAAAATAATGGTTGCTTTTGGGTTTCAATAAACTTTGTTTCAGTTAATAAAACTTTCAGAGTGCTTTTTAAGCAGAAAATTATTCAACATTTTATTTCATTCCTTCTTATTTCTTAATTTTAGAAACCTTAACCAAAATTTAGAAACTATATAATTTAGTCTCACAAAATCTGTATTCTATTTTGGGTATATTTTAGAAACAAAAATATCGTCAGTTAAAAGCCAGTACCAAGTATAGGTTAGGAGTTCAAGGTATTAAGATAATAATTAAAATTACTTAGCACAACACGATGATTTTTCATTGAGAAGTGAAAAAAAAGTGAGATTTCCCAAATAGATTCCAACTCATTTTTGTTTCCTTCAGACTTCAAAGTAAATAAATAACAAAACTTGGTCTAAAAATAAATAAATGAGGTCAGAAATCACCTTGGTATGTCAGGATCGCAAAAGTTACGATACCTATCTTCAAATACCTGCAGAGGTAACACATATTATAACAGTTAAAAAAATTGTAGACATCAGGTGTGAAGTATCGAGTAAACTAACCTCAAAGCGTTTCAGATCTAGTGCTCCAATAGGTTTTGAAAGATCACGAAAAGTTGAGGACTTGTTAAAATCAAGAACTTCAGAGGAGTAATCCGCCAAGACCCAAGGAAAGACTGGATACTGAGTTAAATCATTATAAGACCTTCCTGAAAGAGTATTGAGAATCATTAAATATTCGAAGTTTGTAATATCCCTCCTCCTCCAGTTTTCTCGGGCCGCTTCTGCAATCTCGAGGGCAACACGTCTATCAACAAAAGAAATAGCTCCACTTTGATTTCGACTACTGCCTTTAGGGAACAAAAAGTCATTTCTACTAGACACTATCAAAGTCCCAATATCTTTTGCATCTTTTGGTGTGGCAAAATTAAAAAAGACTGGTGCAACTGAATCACTGAAGAAGATCTCTATTGCAGTGTATCTAAGCAAATATCGAGTCCAGTGAACTCCTTTTATCTGAGAGTCAAACCACAAAAAGACAAAAACAAGAAAGAAATATAAGATTTCTGTACATGCAATGAGTGGTAAAATAAAATGGAATATGTGATCTCCCTACCTTCCCAATGTTCCATCTCCTATGGCGTTTGACATTTTTTAGTGGTTTTTTCAGATTTCCATCATCATTTATCACCTCCACGTTATCAACTGAAGTACCTTTTCTGGACTCCAATTGTAAATATAGAGGCCACTTTACAGACTTCTGCTTTTGGTCGAGCTTAGTCAAATCTGAACTTTTGAGAGCTTGGAAGTTCTTAAAGGTGGATACTCCCCCAGTACCTTCGACCAAAAATTCACCAAAAAAATGCAAAAATTTTTTCATAACAGCCAAATGTCCAGCTAATTTTCTTTTGGGTGTCACAAGTATGCATGGAATCGACATGAGAACCTGAAAGCAGGAAGCCATCCATAAACAATATTGAATTATTCATCCAATGAGATGGAATTTCAACTGATCATACATACCTCACTTTCTTCTGTCTCTGGTGAAAATAGAGATGTATCTTTTCTGTCCTGTACAATATCTTTCCAGACACCAACGTCTTTGACTAGCTCTGGATACTGACTATCTGAAGAATCCACGAGGTTAGAAGCATTTAATTCACATGGTTCATCATCATTTTCAATGGGTTCTGAGTTTCCTTCATCAGTTATCTTCTGAACACCTTTAAGCAAAAACTTTTTCATTTGCTCTGGGATGTGCCCAACAATAGTAGATTTGTTTTCATTTTCAGCATTAGCAATGTCAGCGCTAGAAGAAATAGATGGGGGATGACACAGCTTTTCATCAAAGTGATAATTCTTTCTTAGTTTGGGTCTGCGTCGCCACATATCCTCAGTCTTGTCGAGTTTCCAATGTGTTGAAGGAATATTGGAAAAAGAATTAGCAGACCATGGACCACGTTCATCAATCAAAGCACGAAACATGTGGATCCACTTTTCCTGCCAATAGAACGACTTTATGAAATAACTTATGAAATAATCTTTAAGTTTCCAGGTGAAACAAATGCCATTAGTCTAAAGGGCGAGGACAACTACAAAAAGTAAACGATGTAGAGTATACATACAGCAATATTTTGCTGCTGTTCCTCGTAAGAAAGCTGGAACACAGCCCTTCTATTATCATCTGCAAGCAAAATGGAAGTCAGAATACTTTGCATCTCATCTTCAAAAACCTTTTGGTCACCAGACTCATTAGAAAAGCTCTCCTCCATTCTAATACTTAATTCATGCAACTGCTTCTCATGGTCAATTTTTGATGCTTTCATATAGTTTGCTTCATCAGATATCTGCAAAAGAATCAGAATCAGTCAGAAAAACAGTAAATAAAATCTAAGGTTCTCTCACCCCACTGGAACTTTTCAATTTTCACCACAGAGCAAGAAAAAAGCTATTTGGAATGAGAAAAGTCATAAAAAAGTCAATTGCTTCATCTGGATTTTGGTTCATGGAGGATTCAAAAATTTTGAAACAGTTCAAAAGAAAAAGCGTTTGCTTGATATCTCCTCTAGATGGTGTAGTATTTGCCATATGAGTGCTGAAGACTCAGGACCATCTCTTTCTCACTTGATCTTTCTCTTCACCGTGCTTTTTTAGTACCTTTATAGGGTTTTGCTATATGAATACGGAAACCTAAGACCAGCTCTTATTCTCTTGATTTTTCTCTTTACCGTGCAGGTGGTACCTTTTCATGATTTTGGGAACAAGGTTGAATTTTTAATATCCTTAATGATTCAGCTTCCAAAGGCTCACTGGACCTCTTGAAAAAAGAAGTGAATATCTTAGATATATGTTTTTTTTTCTCTTTAGTACAACTCTGGAGAGTTCGAACTCATTACCTCTTAGTCAGAGACAGATGTCAAATATCACTAAGCTGTGCTCATGTTGGCATCTTACATATATGCTATTAAAGTTTGCTTTTGAACTTTCTTTTCCTTTCTTT